CTGTCGACGTGCCATTTTGTTAGGGATTCCACTGTCGACGTGCCTTGTTGTTAGGTATTCCACTGTCGACGTTCCATGTTGTTAGGGATTCCACTGTCGACGTGCCTTGTTGTTAGGTATTCCACTGTCGACGTGCCATGTTGGTAGGGATTCCATTGTCGGCGTGCCATGTTGTTAGAGATTCCACTGTCGACGTGCCATGTTGTTAGGTATTCCACTGTCGACTAGCCATGTTGGTTGCTTCGGTGCTTTCGCTTGTTTCCGTACACTGGTCGCGATCCGTATATCTGGTGAACCGTATAATGATGAACGCCTTCCCGTCAGTAATTGATCCTAGGAGGTGGCATCTGGACTTTGGGTCTATGGCGATTTTCAAATTTGTACTGCATATTTTCCTTATGGCCTCTAAAGGTTTGAAGTTTTTTTTATCCTGGCCTGAGGGGACGGGCACATTGACAAATTTTAAACATGTACGCCTTGAATATTGTTCATGCTCATCAAGTGTATCTTTACTTTCCTGTTGGAAACGGTGACGTTTTTCATTGAGAAGGTTTATTTCAGTTTCCTGATGGGCTAATTTGGACTTCATATCCGCTACATTCCCATCGAAACATTTAACTATTATTATCCGTTGTTATAGGGCCTTTGCAACCAGGCAACATCTTTCTCAACTCTTTGGGGAGCATACAGCAGGTGCTGCCATTTCGGCGCTCACAGCTAGCATTCAACAATTCTAGCACTACCCAACCACGTTCTCATTTAGAGCTGAGTAGACTGGAACAAGCGGAGTGAAGTATATTGCTCAAAGATACAACACAGCGCCGTGCCGCGGCTCGAACCCGCAACCCTTCGGTCACGAGTCCGGCGTCCAACCACTAGACTACCGCGCCTCCTCACAATGGACTCTATTTTTGGGTCATTAGCTAGAACGTCAGCAACCGCCTCCTCAATCTGAGGTTTCAACCTCGAAGACAGAGATTAAGCTATAACCGAGGACACAAGGTTGCCCTCTGGTTTTGTCAGTGCATTGATCAGTTCATCAAGGACATCCGGATCAGAAAACTAGGGATGATGGAGAGCTTTCATGAGAGGGTCGTTTGGAATCTTGTTAACATGATAAATCCGGAGACGAGTCAAACCCATTCTTTTAATACCTTGACCTGACAAGGGCGTACATTGTCCGGCATATAGTTTGACTTATCACCTGTAATGGGTACAGTACCAGTGTCACCGCTTACCTGTTCAGGTGAAAAAGCTCCGGTAACTGAGCGCGCCATATTGTTCCGTGGTGTGTCCTTTGTCCGAAATCTCCAAAATGGGACACTATTGAGAATAAGATAAGTCCAATTTCCAACATAAGAATAATGACACAATGATGAAAGAAATGTGCAAGTTTCTGATGTATAAGAATGCCTCAGAAAGATAGTAAATCAGTAAAAAATATTCCCCGTTCCTAAGAGTGACTGCTGTCTATATCATCACGTGATCAGGTCTATAAGAATACAACATCTACAGAATGAAAATCGATAAACATGTCATCTATTCCCATTGCTATAGTTCTGAGTGTTACTGAGGTGTGAACTAAACGGGGCTCCAGCTTAATGGTTTTCTGTGTTGTTATTTTAATGAAACGATATTGCTATTTTCTAAATAGTTGAATTACAGTCAATAAAATCAAGGAATATATTCGTGACTTTCAAATCGATGACGCCATATTGTCTGTAAATTAATTAATTGCAACTGCATAATTCAGTTTGTTCTCGTTAATGTCAGATTCAAAAGGTTTAAGTCTGTTGCATTGTACGGATGCTGAACATCAGCGAACTCATCCGAAAAAAACATGATTTTATGTCCACCAATGAAAGCGTTAGCAACTGTTAATGCAGGACTTGAAACTCTTTGTCAAGGCTTTGCCAGGTAGCAACATTGAATCACTGGCCGAACCGATAAACGAACGCCGCCCAGGTATAGGGAGTTATGGTTCGTATGCCGACGGTAACACGTCGATACTAACTAGCTGGATGCATGTCTGAATAGAAAACTTATTTAAGATAGTTTATTTAAAATATACACATGTTTATTAGTAAAAGGTGCTAATTTGAACAAATATTTTGGAATAACGCGAGATACAATTATATACTTATTCCGTCTTTGCATATTGCAGAGTTATCTTCTCTTGGGAGCAGGTATTGATTGTTACGTCATTGGTCTGGGTGAGAAAATTACGTCGTTTTCTCAAAAAAAAAATGACGTTACTCTCGCAAACAAGTGACTTAACAATCAATCCCTGCTCCCAAGAGAAGATAACTCTGCAACACGCAAAGACGGAATACAGTTACCAACATTGAACAGATCCCTCATACCCAAATTCTTTTACTCCATATACAAATGTGGTTACTTGATTTCCTTATGTTTGAATTCCCGCCTCCAAATATCAGTTAAAACAAAACGTTCCCTCCCCCAACTTCTTATAGATGGGTGATACAACCCGAATGGTTGACCTTTTGGATTTAGATTGTGCTAATAACCAAATACAACTAGCTACAACCGTCGGTCAATTGCAACATTCATTTTGAAAAAAAATCATAGCTTATGATAAACCATAGCTACATGTCTGAAGTAAATTTATTTTACTACTTTTCTATATGAAAATTTAGTCTAAGACACATCACTCTACTAAGCGGCGTGTCTTTACTATAATATTTGGTGATAAACGCTAATCTGTTGTTGATAGCTACTCTTAAGGTGTCCCTGATATACAGTCATTGCGGAACACGCTGAGTTTGAGCTCACGGTGGAGCACACTCGTTTGTGCATTACAACAGCTCTTTAATATTATCTACGACAGACGTTTTCGATTCCAGGGTGTTTGAGAGAAACCTACCGCTGGAACATGACATTCCAAAGTCGCGGCAGTGGTATGCAGCTTTGTCACTTTGAAAACCGCTACTAGACCTTTAAAGGGACATCAGTCACTCTTGATATTTGATCTCGTCAAAGCTGTGTCACTCCCAAGACACAGCAGTATGAATGGTTTATTAATGTGAAAAATACTCCTGGACCTTTAACGGGACAACTCAGATTTCCGTAGTTCTGTGGTAGTATACGTTACTAGTTAGGAATGACCCACACTGATGAGATGTAATTGTAATTTTTACTGGGGCATTACAATAAACGCAGTCTTGTCCATGACTATTTAAGGAATGACCAAGATTTTGTTTTGGTATATACGGTATATACCGGAAAAAAAGTGCACAATTTTTTCGGTATATCCCGTATATACCAAAACAAAATCTTGGGCATTCTTTATAATTTAATTTAAAAATAGTAGACAAACACGTTGTAAATGCACAGTTAAAGATTTATTTAATTTTTACGTAAACTAATCAATTTCGCTAAAAAAAAGCTGCGTTGTAATTTTGCATTCTGAAGTGTAAAAAGTAGTTCCGTCATCAGTTGTTTTTCTTTTTAGGTATATACGATATATACAACAACAACAAAAAATATGGGAGATAGGCAAAATTATATTATTCAAACATAATGATCTATTCTACGTCCTATCAACCACTAAAGTCGTATAGACATATTACTCTACCAATTGTAAGCTTAGAATAACTGGAATACAGTGTGTCTAGTCAACCCTTTCAATTTATCACGTACCTAAACAAAGGTATATGTTTCCCTACCCATTGTAAGCTTTGAATGACTAAACCACAGCGTGCAGTCAACCTTTTTAATTAAGCAATGAATGGTTTAGCACATGCTATTATGAACCAATTACACACATTTCTATTGATGACAAACTTTGTTAGTTTGTCAGTAATTGAAATGTGTGTTGTATCATGAATGATCAAAATATAAAATGAGAGAATGAGGAATGCAAGCAATGAATGGAGAGATCAAATATGGAAATGCTGAAAGCTTTGCTGAGACAGAACAACTTGTCACAAAGAATCGCAAATATAAATCACATGTTTATACATCACAAGATTTGTAACATATCTAACAAGTTTCAAATAAAAAAAAAACATAATTAAAAAACAAAACCTTCAAATATTGCAACGTTTGTTGTTCAATATCCCGATTCATTTCACTATTCTGTACATTGGCAACAATTTAACATGTACGTATCAGTCACCTAGTAGTCAGTCACGTGTGTAGTTCTACTATTTTAGTTGTAGTAGACGCTATCTGTGTAATACGATCCCCTTTTAACTCGGCTATTGCTGGGGAACACGGACAACTGTAAACAGGTCTGGTTCAGTGCTGAGGAACACGGACAACTGTAAACAGGTCTCGTTCAGGGCTGAGGAACACGGACAACTGTAAACAGGTCTCGTTCCGTGCTGAGGAACACGGACAACTGTAAACAGGTCTGGTTCAGTGCTGAGAAACACGGACAACTGTAAACAGGTCTGGTTCAGTGCTGAGGAACACGCACAACTGTAAACAGGTCTCGTTCCGTGCTGAGTAACACGGACAACTGTAAACAGATCTGTCTCAGTGCTGAGGAACACGGACAACTGTAAACAGGTCTCGTTCAGGGCTGAGGAACACGGACAACTGTAAACAGGTCTCGTTCCGTGCTGAGTAACACGGACAACTGTAAACAGATCTGTTTCAGTGCTGAGGAACACGGACAACTGTAAACAGGTCTCGTTCCGTGCTGAGGAACACGGACAACTGTAAACAACTCTGGTTCAGTCCTGAGGAACACGGACAACTGTAAACAGGTCTGGGTCAGTGCTGAGGAACACGGACCACTGTAAGCAGGTCTCGTTCAGTGCTGAGGAACACGGCCACCTGTAAACAGGTCTCGTTCCGTGCTGAGTAACACGGACAACTGTAAACAGGTCTGGTTCCGTGCTGAGGAACACGGACCACTGTAAACAACGCTGGTTCAGTGCTGAGGGACACAGACAACTGTAAACAGGTCTGGTTCAGTGCTGGGGAACACGGACAACTGTAAACAGGTCTCCTTCCGTGCTGAGTAACACGGACAACTGTAAACAGGTCTGGTTCCGTGCTGAGGAACACGGACCACTGTAAACAACTCTGGTTCAGTGCTGAGGGACACAGACAACTGTAAACAGGTCTGGTTCAGTGCTGAGGAACACGGACAAGTGTAAACAGGTCTGTTTCAGTGCTGAGGAACACGGACAACTGTAAACAGGTCTGGTTCAGTGCTGAGGAACACGGACAACTGTAAACAGGTCTCGTTCAGTGCTGAGGAACACGGACAACTGTAAACAACTCTGGTTTAGTGCTGAGGAACACGGACAACTGTAAACAGGTCTGGTTCAGTGCTGAGGAACACGGACAACTGTAAACAGGTCTGGTTGAGTGCTGAGGAACACGGGCAACTGTAAACAACTCTGGTTGAGTGCTGAGGAACACGGACAACTGTAAACAGGTCTGTTTCAGTGCTGAGGAACACGGACAACTGTAAACAAGTCTGGTTCAGTGCTGAGGAACACGGACAACTATAAACAGGTCTGGTTCAATGCTGAGGAACACGGACAACTGTAAACAGGTCTCGTTCAGTGCTTAGGAACACGGACAACTGTAAACAGGTCTGTTTCAGTGCTGAGGAACACGGACAACTGTAAACAGGTCTGGTTCAGTGCTGAGGAACACGGACCACTGTAAACAACTCTGGTTCAGTGCTGAGGAACACGGACAACTGTAAACAAGTCTGGTTCAGTGCGGAGGAACACGGACAACTGTAAACAACTCTGGTTCAGTGCTGAGGAACACGGACAACTGTAAACAGCTGTGGTTCAGTGCTGAGGAACACGGACAACTGTAAACAGGTCTGGTTCAGTGCTGAGTTACACGGACAACTGTAAACAGGTCTGGTTCAGTGCTGAGGAACACGGACAATTGTTAACAGGTCTGGTTCAGTGCTGAGGAATACGGACAACTATAAACAGCTCTACAACGTTGTGTATATTGTCGTTCGACTTTCGTTTATGATGGAGTGTACTCGACCTTAATTCAAGAAGTTATATTTTGAAACATGGATTTACCAAATTTACGTAAGTTTATCATAGTTATTTTTAGCTCTTTTGTGCAATGTGATGAACGTAAGTTGACCAGTTATTTTTAGCTCTTTGGTTCATTGTAATGAACCTAAGTTGACCAGTTACTTTTAGCTCTTTGGTGCATTGTAATGAACCTAAGTTGACCAGTTATTTTTAGCTCTTTGGTGCATTGTGATGAACGTAAGTTGACCAGTTTTTTTTAGCTCTTTGGTGCACTGTAATGAACCTAAGTTGACCGGTTATTTTTAGCTCTTTGGTGCATTGTGATGAACGTAAGTTGACCAGTTATTTTTAGCTCTTTGGTGCATTGTGATGAACGTAAGTTGACCAGTTATTTTAAGCTCCTCGGTGATGAAGTGTAATACGTTTTTGACAAACTGTATTCCGTCTTTGCGTATTGCAGAATTATCTTCTCTTGAAAGCAGGTATCGATTGTTACGTGATTTGTTTGTGAGAGTAACGTCATCATTTTTTGAGAAAACGACGTATATTTCTCACACAAACCAATGACGTAACAATCAATACCTGTTCTCAAGAGAAGATAACTCTGCAATACGCAAAGACGGAAGAATCACCTGTATGTTTTACTTTCATCGTCCGAATCTAACGTTGTTTGCTGGGCTCGAGAAACATTCGGTAAATCCTTATATTTATTTGTGCGCAAAATAGATGTTATACTACATCTACAGCTTTAATATACACGTAATTATTTAAGTTCAATAAATATCACTGTAATAACTTCTATGTTCTCCGCAGTGATTCTTAAGTGGGGTGATAATTACTTTATAAGTAGTCCCAAAAAATTTCATTTTTCAAATTAACTTATCAATTCGTCCTAAAATGACCCCACAAATTCGTCCGGTGTTTAGAAAACTTAAGACTAGATACAGTAATAATATTAAAAGACAAAGCCTGAAAAGAGCGAACCATTTGGTAATCTCTAATATTTACTGATTCAGCTGTATTTAATGTTGGTCGAAGTCGAGGAACAACAATAAAAATCAAGTTCTAATGATCTTTTTAAGACGAACATTTATGTAGAATATTTATCGCCGAGGTTCATTATCGCTTGGTTCAATAGGCATATTACATATCCAAGAATTTGTACACAGTTCACAAAATTTAAATTATACCAACCGAAGTCGTGCTTTCAAGTGCAACTTAATGGTGTTCCCAGCCCAATGTAGATATGTTCCCCGCTGGAATCGTCTTTTCCGGATACACCCCGCGTATTACATAAGGTATAGTACACGGTTTCCAAAAGTTAAACGTTAAAAACGTCACCCCAGTGAGAGTTTGTTATACCTCATCTGTTTACAGAGCATCTGATTGGAATGAGTAGATCATTTGACGTGGAATAATTCCCTTTTGTGCTCGAGATTTCAAATTCATATTTTTCTTAATTCGGGACGTTAAAATTTGAGTATGGGGTATCATTCACGAGTTTAGAGTGACTGAAGCAGCAGACAACCATGAACCATAGGCCATACACTGTCTACTGTTGTGTTATCCTAGTTCGGTATAGTGATATGAACTTGTAATAGCGAAACAAAGAATCATGTTTCCCTGTCACAATGTATAGCTTGTATTTGATGAATTCAATAGGAAGTTAAGTAGACGCGTGATTTTGTTATTTATCGTGTTTATTCAACTCAAAATAGTTCATTTTCAAACGAAAAATCAGCGCGGGAGTTCGCTTGGGTTGATAAATGTATTCATTGGTGTTTAAAAGGTACACAGATAAACACATGTAACAAGTTTTATGGTTTATGCTTGGACACGGGTCGTCATTGCAAAGTATATCACAGNAGGAAAAAAAAAAAAAAAAAAAAAAAAAAAAGTAAATATAAAGATTGCGACAAAGCATCTCGTAAACACTTAAGATGTTATGCAACATCGTTCCTTTCAAACATGTTGACTATCAGACGGTAGCATTGAAAATATCTAGTTCAATCCTTAACTCAGTAACTAATTCATCATGTTTATTGTTTTTAAATATGGTAATGAATCATGAATGTTTTTCGCACCTCTTTAATCATGTTTCAAAAGGGCAATATGTGTATTACACTCAAGAATGGATATACATTGTATACAACCTTCAAAAGATTTTCAAATTTGAAATATTTTTTAATGTAAATTATCAAACTCTTTCACAGAGCGCATATAATATGAAGGCTTCTGTATAGACTGCCCATGTACACCTAATAGCAAGACGCTAGCTAAGTACGTAAAACTAGGGCTACATTGTGTACCCCATAGATCTCTGGCACACATCCTATCTTATCAAAATCAAAATAAATTAAAACAACAAAAATAGCATTGTTATAAAAAAGGTTTTTTAACCTGCCGCTCGGCCGTACACGTATATCTTGTAATTTGAATTTAAACCAACGTGTATAAACTTCATGACTGAATTCCGAATTAGCTCTACGAGAGCGTGACTTCTCGGGTGAAGAACAATTATTACTTTGAGATTTTTAATTATAAACGTGTACTTTAGAATTGTTTCATGGCCAATGCCAGAGATTCAGAGATTTTTTATTATCACTCAGGCACACTATTGTGCGCAACAAGAGGTCATCATAAAGTACAATATAACAATGATATGGTTGACCGTAAAGCAATCATCTTACTATGCTAGCGTACAATAGTGGAAACTATTACACTCCTCATACAATGATAAACACAATATTACACTGTACTATCATACCTTATTATAATAGACAGTATAGCGCACTGGTCATACAATGACACTCATCATACACTGTGATATACATTATTACACTCATTTTACAATACTATTACGATGGTATAACACATAGCATTACATTCACACATACCGTTCGTTCACACTGTGGTATAGCAGGCACTGTTGCATCCATCTTACAGTACAATCCTACAATAATATTATTACAGTATTACACATATATTACTCGCACTCCATGATACATATATTATAGATAGTATACCACACCATACAGTGCAATCATACCATGGCATAATAGAGACTATACTACTCATCATACCATATAATATTACAAAGGTATAATAGACAGTGTTACAATCCCATCATACAATACTGCAATAGACAGATAACAAACAAACCATGATAAGCAAGCTGTAACCACACTCATCTTGCAATACAATTATGTTAGGTTTAGCAAATGATCAGTAATATCTATATGTATACAAAAGTTTACAGTTTGATGTGTGAAATTCACATATTATTTTTTAATTGTCTTTCTAGTAATTGTATGAACAGCGATAGATTTGATAATATTCTAACATTACATATTGATATTAATCCTTTCATTTTATGAACAGATGGATTAGAGGTGTAATAAATAGGTATATATTTTCTGCGGATTTGACTTACATAAGCATTTGAACATATAAACAAATAATGATACTCGCTTCCAACTCCAGTAAAACAAAGCGGACAGATTCTGCCTTCACGTGGTGTTCTAGTCCATCGCCCGCTGACCTATATACGGTTCCGCTAGCGACTCCATAGAAGCCAAACTGTAGCAGTATATATAAGCTTTAATTAAGCCTACTCAGTTTGATACGCCGGTATATTTAGTATCATAACAACTACAATTTAAGACATACATTGTAACCAACTTTATGAAACTCACATTTTATCGTTTGGGATGAAAAAATATTCATCATTTTCAAATTTGAAGAAATGTGTTGTAAAGCTGATGACACGTAAAATTACTGAAGTCGGACTTGATATCTGTGATATTATCTTAAACTGTATAATAGTTTGTGTTTTAAATACCCGCACTGTACTTAATGAGCTCCAACGTTAGCGCTATGAAGTTTACCCGGAGTATTTAATGTCACAGTGTCGACTGAACGAATTCCATCTGACGTTAAATGTACATTATTTTATCGATAATATTGCAACATCGAAGTTGATATTTTGTGACACTCCAGGAGAAGAGTTTAGATACGGCATCTAGACAATGTTACTAGCAGGTAAAATATCCAAATATGATAATGTTTTGTATAAAACTTATAATGTGTACCAGTGTGCTGTATAGACTAGTCGTGTACAAATATGTTCTCTATTTTTAAACCTACATCTGGTCTATATGGAATTTTGCGTTCATATGCTTGTAATTTAAAAATGAGTTTGAAAAATGAGATGTGAAATCGTTTTTGACACATTGAAAATAAATTTTTAATCACGATTAAGTGTAAACTATATATCAACAAGATGTCCATGCTCTCTCTCTCTCTCTCTCTCTCTCTCTCTCTCTCTCTATCTCTCTCTCTCTCTCTTTCTCTCTCTCTCTCTCTCTAAAAAAAAACCATAACAAAATTTGTATTAAATGTTGGTTGAAGAATGAAAATGAGTGTGAACATTAATACTGTAATTATTCTGTAATGCTGAAAATGTTTCAAAAATAAAAAAATAAAAAGAAGAAGTCCATTTAGTCACGTAACATGTCAGAAATTACAACTTATGTTCATAAACTCATGTATAGGCAAAATCAGGTTTCTCTATAAACATGGATTAGTTAACAGAAATACATTACATTTCACACTAACATATGCACTATGTTTTTTTTAATAGATATAAGCTTAAGTTGAACATTACAGACTAAGTCACTGATTTGTTAGCAATTACAATTGACTTCCTGTAATATCTATCATGTGATATACAGTAAAGACGGATTTTACCGACACTTGACTTTACAGACATCCTGTTATAACTGATATATGATATACAGTAAAATATGTTTTTACCAACATCCGACTTTACAGACATCCTGTAATAACTGGCATATGAAATACAGTAAAACCTGATTTTACCGACACCTGACTTTACAGACAGTTTGTAATAACCGACATGTGATATACAGTAAAACCTGATTTTTAACCGACACCTGACTTTACAGACATCCTGTAATATCAAACATGTGTTATACAGTAAAACCTGATTTTACCGACACCCTGAATTTACAGACATCCTGTAATAATTGCATATCAATAGACTTTACATACACAAGCATTGGGCAAATACAGTGAAAACATTAGTATGATATGTAATGTACTTTTTGTTTGTAGATCCGTGATATATTTTAAATATATCACTAAAGTTTCTTATATTTTAACAATTTTCTGTTTTTATTGTCTTCGTATGAACAACTATTTTTTTGTTTATTATTTCCATAAAGCGGCCAGCGGTTTCGGAGCCCTCCAACAAGATACACGTTTTGGTCAAACTGTCGCCCTGGACATAATCGGAAACGATAAGTTATTCCAAAGTCCTTCCAAAACTTAAAGAATGGCAAAATACCGGGTCAAGACTGTCAAAATGAAATCAGCCTTCCGCGTAGGGCATTGCTGTAAGTGGATGTACATGGCCATGGTGATTTCACTAACCATCTTGATCAGCCTCGAACTCAGTTTATATGGTCAACTAAAGGAAAAGATTTCTTTGCAGAAAGAGAGACGAGGTCGAAAACACCGAGGGATTTTGGAATCAAGCAATGATTTACTTCGCCAACAGGAATCAAAGCATGCAGCAAGGAGCTGGAAATCTGAATCCGACTCCGATATAAAAAAATCTAAAAAGATATTTCGTACTGGCCAAAGAGTAGAAAAAACCATGGATTTAGTCGAAGATAGAGTTAAACAAGGAAAAGGGGGCTCCATCTACTGTGAGGGGAATTTAGAAGTCTTCAATTTGGATATAGTGTTAATGAGAAACGTCCTTCTGGACACACGACAACTCAAAAGTAAAATCAAAGGAGGTGAAACAATTCAAGAGGTTATGGGTCAAGACGAAAGTGCTGAACAAGTGACATTAAAACCAGGATTTTTCCGGATTCCCTGTGCGTCAATACCATTACAAAAATTTTCACCAAGGTCGTATTTTTCAAAATGGTATCTTGCGTTGTCCGAGAGAGAAATTGACATCCCTTCTAAATCTACAGAAATTTCCAATTTTACGGTTTTCATTAAAAGAGGAGACTATGCCAATATGTACTGGACGATTATAGAATTGTACAACACCTTTCTAACGATACGCCTGTTCGGGAAAGATCCAAAATCCTCGTCTGTAGTACTGGTCGATGCTCATCCACTAGGCAAACTGGAAAATCTGTGGACTCTCTTGTTCGGAAACGTTATTCGAATAGGAAGTATGCACGGTGATATATTCATAAAGGAAGCTGCGTGGGTGATACCGATATCGGCTTCCCCTATTGGCCAGGCCATTCCAAGTCTTCCATTTATACGCGATTTCAAAATGGCACTTTACAAGGCAGTCGGGATTAATGTAATTGTACCGATGTGCGGAAAAGGATTAAATCAAACGATCATCACTTTAATTTTAAGACATGACTACGTTGCACATCCCAGAAATCCTTCAGGGAGCGTAAAGAGAAAGATATCGAACGAAAAAGAACTTATTAAACATTTAGATACAAAGTTTCCAGGAGGCCGTTTAAACGCTGTTCAGTTAGACAACTTTTCGATAGAGGAACAAATTCGGATTATATACAACACTTCCATTTTAATAGGGGTGCACGGTGCTGGATTGGCGCTTACCATTTTACTACGTCCCGGTGCTTCCATGTTCGAAATGTTCCCATCGACGTACAAAAGATCTCCGAATCAGCATTTTCAACAATTTGCGGTGTGGGGAGGGAGTTGGTACGAAAGTTGGTTCAGCAATGATAAACTATCCCCGAAGAACGAGTGGATTCGGATTCCTACGGAGATACCCACACAGTTGATTGAAAAATCTCTTCGTCGGATGTGTAACACATTAACATAACCTCAAAGGCGCTCTTTTTACTGATACTTTGATGCACTTTACTTTATGGGATTTTAATCCTATGCAACTGATTAGCACGGATTCACTGGATTTGTAGCATGATTTTGTTTTGAATAGTTGCTGATCAGAAATTGAAACATGATATCAGAAATCACCTGTTTATATAATCTATTAGACTAGAATTTTAAACAAAACTTTTTGTCTGTACAATTCAGCATTGGTTCGTCTGATTCTAAAGAAAAGTGTTGTGAATCCAATTTTGTTTTACATCGTTATAAAATCAGGTGACCAGTGGACTGGCATTACATGTATAAATGACCATTTATGCAATCAACACATCATTTACGGGTGTCAATATTTCTCACTCAACGTTTCCAATTCATGATTCCTCTCTTTAAAACTACATTATCTGTTATGACTGTAGCGCATGCGATGCTTATTTTTGTGCAGTGTACATAATATATATGACCCAAATTGTATGATCTTAAATGAGTTTTCATTTCATATAAGATTTTATGAAACGAGTCTTAGGAGCTTTTGTTTTTGCGAGCCTTGGCGAGCAAAAATTAAAACTTCGAGACGAGTTTCATAAAAGTTCATGAAATTAAAACAAATTTAAGATACTTTTTATCACATAACACAGAAAACTTAGATTTTGACAGGTTTTAAAGCCAAAATGTATAATCAAACGGAGACAGCGATTTTGTTGCGCCATTTACAATTTATGACGTCACGTCATTGTCCATATTATGACGTCACAATCGATTTCTGACTGGCACAGCCAATGAAAAACGCTCCAGGGTATATTACTCTAGTGACATATGTAAAAATATTACACGGGTGAATTCACTGGATAACAGGCCGATTATGTGATAAATATGATATATAAGATTAATTCTAAACGGTACGGGTTTATAAGTGTAATTATGTTCTTCAGAAACTGCGATTCATTCCCTACCGGTCTTTCATATCCAGAATTTAAACACTCTCATCGTTCCGATTATGTTAGTCGGCATTGTTATTCGATATATTATTGTTTTTTTAATTCACATCTCCATTTTTACGGGTTATTACTGGGTAGGTGTAGGTTTTATGTAGTTCAAATTTTTGGGATTAACACTTTTACTTATGGGTTCTTAAATCTTCTTAATATAATTTCCAAACTTGCAAAGTGAATTTTCTTGGATACTTGGATCTAGATTTTTTTTTAAAATCGTAAATCACTTTATTTTCGCGTGTTTGTATTTTTAGCAGACGACTCGAGATATTCATTCGAATTAGCGGAATGCACAAATCGTGAAATGTTACAGATTTTCAGTTTAAATTTGTTATAATAGACAAAAGGTTAGTGCTGGCGGAATGGATTTGTCGTCTGTATAATTACGTAATACGAATATTGGGGTAGAAAGGTTTGACATTAAGGTACTAGTATTTACATGTGTTGATGTATGTACGAGTTTGTGTCGCTTTTATGTTTTCAGAAGAGAATTTCCATTCTTTCAATAGTTATTTTAGAATGAAATTCCTTTCAGATTTCAAATACATTAATCGTGGTTGTATGTATTATATAAATGTGGCAAACCTTCGATATAGCTTTAAGATTGAAGCAAAATAAGTGCTCGTGAATACTGAATGAGTAACAGTATATTTATGGGGGCG